GAATCAAAAATTTATGTAATTTGTAAAAATTGGATTTTAACGATTACAACATGATATGATTTATTTTATATTTGACAAATCTACTCTAAAACCGTAATATTATGTTATTATTACTTTTTATATGAATGTTTCGCGAAGATATATTGGAAGGTTGCTAGAAAAATCAGGTTCTAAGAATTTTCGACTAAAAAATAAGACCTTATTACATTTTATTCTAATAACATCAAAAAACTAAAATGCAATAACAATCAAATAAATCTATTAGGAGAACTTTCCAAATACGGAAACTAAAAAGAGACGTGTTTTCGGAGTATTAAACGCGATTTGGAAAAATATTTGTTTTTCGATAATTATGGCGATTGTACTACATTGATTTTCAAATATTTTCAATTTTTTTTTTTTTTTTTTTTTTTTGAATTCCTGAAATTTTCTAATTCGTATCCTTTCAATTTTCATCATGAAATTTGGAAAATATTTACGAGAACGTATAGAAAAATTTCCCGTAGAATGGAGAGAACATTGCATAGATTATAGATCATTAAAATTATATATCAAAGCTAATATAGCCCCAAATACGTTAAACTTGGATTTAAGTCAAACGGTATGGAAACCACCTACAGACTCAAAAGAATTACATTTCATTCAATTAGTTTCAAAAAGGTTATCAACTTTACAATTTAAAACTACGGAATTCTTGGAAAAATTAGATAATGAAATACAAAAGGTGTCTGATTTTTTTGTTAAAGAATCGAATTCACTTGTAAAGAAAGGTGAACAACATGTAATAGATTCGGAGAGTAAAATGTTGGAATCTATTATTAAATTAGAAAAATTTGTTTTATTGAGTTATACAGGTTTAGTTAAAATATTAAAAAAACATGATAAACATTCTGGATTAAATATTGGAGAAGCTTATCTTTATAGAATTGTCTCACTCCCTCTAACAAAATCTGAATCACTTTTGACTTTAAAAAAATATTTAATGGAAAAAATTGTGCAAGGCATTTCTCCTAACGCAATAACAACAACTAATATTAATAATGGAATTATGACGGAAAGTAACAATTATGAAACTTTCGATGCAACTACTGCAGCAAAAACCTCATTGTCTCCCTCGTTAGGTACGACACTTTTACCAAATCTTTTAATATCAAAAGCTTCCCAACACTCATCAGCTGCAGAAGGAAATTGGTTTCCGCCATCGGATTTATTACCTCACCAAAAAGTTATTGCTTCGCTTACTGGACCTCATGGAACTGATATTATAGGATCCATATTTGAATGCATGGCAAAACATGATTGCGAAGTTGAGGATTTTATGTTATCTAGATTATATCACAATGTTACTTTTGGTGTATTAATTACGTTAAACTCTGATAATATAGATTTATTCAGAGATTTAGCTGAAGCATCAAGAAAATGGGATGGTACTTTATCTTTTGATATTCACGATAGTAATCAAAGCTACTTTGTATCGTCTATTGAAGATGCTCCATATGAAAATCGTATTAAATATACTGCCACTGTATTAAATCAAAAGGGTTTAACCCCTCAATTTTTAAATGATTGGACGAAATTTTTGTTAAAAGAAAAAATTTCTGTAGAAAAAATGCAAAGATTAAATGAAGGAAAGTTATCTTGTGCCGATTATAAATTATCTGTACCAGTCACAACAAATTTTGAAAGATTAAGACAAGAATTATTCATTCTAAGTACTTCTCATGGTACGGATGTTGCTATACAACCTTATGATGTTTTTAGAAGACATAAGAGACTAGTCGTGTTTGATATGGATTCTACTCTTATTCAACAAGAGGTTATTGATGAAATTGCTAGACATGCCGGTGTTGTTAATGAAGTTGCCTCTATTACTGAATTAGCCATGAACGGTGAAATTGATTTTAAAGAATCTCTTAAACGTCGAGTTTCTCTTCTTAAAGGAACACCTGTGAAAGTTTTAAATACTGTTCAAGAGAGTTTAACTTTTACTGAAGGTGCTCGTTTTCTTTGTAAAGCATTAAAGAAAATTGGTTTCAAATTGGCAGTTATCTCCGGTAAGTTGTTGAATCTTTCAAGGTAAATACCAAAGAAAACTAATTTAATTATGGACATCTCAAAATTTTCCTATAGGTGGATTTATTCCTTTAGCAAAATATGTTAAAAATGAACTCGGATTAGATTATGCTTTTGCAAATCAAGTAAGCTGTCATTTGAATTTATCTTAATGTGAAATATTTTAACGCGTTTTTTTTTTTACTCTTCCTTTTTCCTACTTTCTGAATCTAGCTTAAAGTTTCGTCAGATGGACTAACACTTACGGGTGAAACGGTTGGTCCTATAGTTGATGCTGAACGTAAAGCTGAATTGCTTGAAGTTATTGCTCAGGCTGAAAATGTTACTTTAGAACAAGTAATCGCTGTTGGTGATGGTGCAAACGATTTACTAATGTTGGCGAAATCTGGTTTAGGTATCGCTTTTAATGCTAAACCAAGGGTACAAGAAAAGGTGATCATTTGAATTTTGAATTTTGAATTTTATTTAAAAAAAAAGAATATTGTTTAAGAATTAATTGATAATTGAATTTTCCTTAATTAGGCACGAGCTAGGATTAACCAAAAAAGTTTAAAATATGTTTTATATTTATTAGGATATACTGATGAAGACGCTAAACAATTATATTCTGATTATTGATAATATTAAAAGAAATATATTTTTTTCATTCGAATTTCCGGCCCTATCGCTATTATATTTAATTACAATAGAAATATAAATTTAAGTTAACCAATTAATATTATTATTTATATATTTTACAGAGGACAGAACAAAATCTTAATTTTTTTTAAATGGGTATATTATATATACTTTCTTTGATTAATCTTTATTTATTTTACAATTCAAAATTATTTATTTATTTTTTTTCTGATTATGTAAAATATGATAAAATGTAATTTATCATTTAATAAATCATTTTTTAAAAATATGATATTTGATTATTATTATTTTTATCATATAACTTTCAAATCAATTTTTAATTATTGAATCTTAACATTTGTTTTCAAATTATTATTTTTAAATAACTTCTTATACAGTGGTTCACAAAAAGTAATGCAACCACTAAACATAAAACTTTAAATTAATATAACATTTTATTCATAATTATATTCAAATAAAATAAATTTTATTGAGTTTTCTGAATCAAAATTCATATAAATTTGTAACTTACATTCCTATTTAATTATATGATCTGCAGTTAGACAGTAATTTTTATATTTTAGACTTTGCATAATTTATATAACTTTGAGTTGATTCA